CATTATGCTCTTCTCTAATCTTTTTAATTTCCTCTATTGTGTGTTCTGCGTTTTGCTTAATTTCCTTCCTAATTTCTTGAAGAGTTCTGTACATTAATCTTTTGTATTCTGTCTCTGGTAATTCCAAGAAATTGTATAGATTCTTTATTTTGGGAGCTTACTGAAGTGACGGACTACCTTTGTATAGTGTGATTACTAAAAGTATATGCATATATATAGAGAGAGAGTCATATTAGAATCAAATACTTCTAGATTTAAAGCTTTCTCTCAGCCTAGAAGATTTTCAAGGAAGCAAAATACATGGAATTCTTTCCCTCCTTTTCTCCTCTCTCCCTTTCTCCCTTATTTCTATTCTTATTACCTTCATTCCTCCCTGTGTTGCTTCCTTTTTTCTTTACTTCCTCATTTCTTTCGTTTAGAAATCCTTTTCTTCATTCATCCGTTCCTTCAAGATCATGTGAAATAAGTACTGATGCAAAAGGAAAATAGCTCTGTGTTGTCCAACTAAATGTATAAAACATTTCTTCCATTTTGAATCTTGTTACAGATACTTCTCAAAGAACTTGCACTGGTACAATTATTATCGAACTTGAAGGTTTTGGCCCGCCAAAGCCTGAAACCACCACTCCTGATACAAGTACTGACGGTAAAGCTAATGGAGGTAGTACAATTGTGAGCAGTTCCTCAGGCTATTCCAGGACAACTTACTCCGGTAACGGGCACTCAATAAATGTCTATCAAGATCGTTTTGATAACGTACATTTCGGTCCTGCTGGCATTGGACTACTTGTCATGGGAGTCTTGGTCTTAGGATGTAAGTACTTTAACAATCCTATTTATATGTGAAAAAAAAAATAGTGGAGAAAGAGATAAGTTTTCAGATTCTTTGAAAAACTGTATTTTACAAATTCATCTTTCATGCAATTATCATCAAATTTCTGTGCTTGGCAATGGGCTTATGAAAAAAGTCAAACTTCTTGACCCCTTATAGTGCAGTGGAGGATAAACACTTGTTTGCAGTCAATCTCAATAGAATGGGAAAGTGCTATAACAGAGGCCAACTCAAATTGCTTTTTGAGAAAAGTGGACAATCAGAAATAATTGAAACAGTCAGAGAAGGCTACAACAGAGAAATTAAATTCTGAGTTGGATTTTAACAGATGCATGTGAGTTTAGCCTGATGGACAAAAGAAGGGGAACACATACAAAGAGGAAAATAAAAAGTACAACAAGACAGAAGAGTGAGAGGGAAAAGTATTGAAATAAAGGACTTTAATGTGGAAGGAACAAAGGATGTGCATGGCCGTGTAGGGAGAGGTGAGACTAGAAAGATAGATGGAGGCTAGACTATGAAGAGAATTTATGCTATGCTAAGACTGTATAACTTAATGAAAGGAGAGTCAAACGAACTGGCATTAAACTTCAGCTTCTAAACTTAACTGAGTTTTCCAAAAGGTTACTTAACCGTTTTCAGCCTCAGTGCCGTCATCTGTGAAATAATAATACTTACTTCACAACACTGTTTTGATGGTGAAAAAGAAATACCACACATAGACTCATTTGGCACATTTTATGCTCACCAGAGTGGACCTAAGGATGCCTGGGTGGCACAAATGGTTTGTGCTCGACTACTAACCCAAGGGTTGGTGGTTCAAATCCACCCAGTGGTGAGGCAAAAGAAAGGCTTGGAGATCTGCTTCCATAAAGATTACAGCCAACAAAACCCTATGGAGCAGTTCTACTTCATAACACATGGGGTTGCCATGAGTTGGAACTGACTTGCAGCAACAGGTTGCGTTTTTTGGAGAGAGGACCTAGTCAAGAATTTAACTATGCAGTGTAAAGCCCAACAGATTCTCCAAGTAGTCTTTAGCGTTGTCTTGGATGATGACAGAAATTGGGGTGGAGATGGAGACAGTGAGCCAGATGCCACAGTCTCTGACAAATGAGGAGGGGAGTCCTGAAAATAAGCGCAATTAAATCAGTGTAAAAAAAACAAAGACCCAGATGCATCAAGCTGACTCCAACTCATGGAGAGCCCATTTTCGAGGTGAAAATCATAAAATCTTTGTATCAGAAGATACTGCAGAGATAATGTAATTAAAACCCATACACAAAGATATGTAAAGCCACAGCACTTGCATGTGAAATATTTTTCTAACTTCATTTCTTTTAATACGTGAACAGCCATGAAAGTTACATTTTTCACTAAATTTATTAGCAAACTGGATGTTCTCTGATTTTAAATAATGTTTTCACTTTTGATATTTCTGATGAAAACTGAATACATCTAAACCACCAAGACAGGCAGATAACACAGCTTAAAATTAAGGCTCTTTTTTTGTATTTTAAAAAATATTTCAAGAAACAGAAAAAATTTAGATCAAGTAATACAAATTCATTCTTATTGGCTCATAATAAATTGAAATAATTACCACAAAAGATCTATGACAGAGGGAAAAAGGTTTTAAAAAAAAGGCATTCTTATCAAAATGAATCAAGACAAGAAAAACACAAAAAATGCTATCAAATTTTCAGAATACTACATAAAATACATATGAGAAGAGATAATTCTCTAATTTCACTTTTTTAGCCTATTAATGATTAGCCAACATTTTAAAATTTTAAAATTTAGCATTCTATAAAAGTAACTTAATTACTGTGAATAATATAAGACTTTCACTTTGGGTTTGTTTTTTACATAGGTGACGGACTACCTTTGTATAGTGTGATTACTATAAGTATATGCATATATATATAGAGAGAGTCATATTAGAATCAAATACTTCTAGATTTAAAGCTTTCTCTCAGCCTAGATTTTCAAGAAAGCAAAATACATGGAATTCTTTCCCTCCTTTTCTCCTCTCTCCCTTTCTCCCTTATTTCTATTCTTACTACCTTCCTTCCTCCCTGCGTTGCTTCCTTTTTTCCTTCCTTCCTTCCTCATTTCTTTTGTTTAGAAATCCTTTTCTTCATTCATCTGTTCCTTCAAGATCATATTATATAAAAGGCTCTGTGCTAGAAACTGGTAGTACATAGGTAAATAACACATATCAAAGACAAATCAACTGATTGACGGCAAAAGATATTGATGAAGGAACATGCAGTCTCTCTCATCTTGGGGTTCATTAAAATAAGAAACAAAACTAATGAAAAAGTTTTACAGAGTAAATAACCAACATATGAAATAGGAAATTTTAAGCAGAGAAATTCACCCAAAGGTGGTGTCGCCTCTTTAAAAAGAAAAACCCACTGCCGTCAAGTCGATTCCGACTCATAGCAACCATATAGGACAGCGTAGAACTGCCCCACAGAGTTTCCAAAGAGTGGCTGGTGGATTTGAACTGCCAACCTCTTGGTTAGCAGCTGTAGCTCTTAACCACTGCACCACCAGGGCTCCTTAAAAAGAAAAAAAAACACATGTATATATTCATGTACAGAGAGAGAACGAGAAAGAAAGAAACTAGGGACTGAAAATTTGCACAAAACAATAAAGGACTCAGTTAAGCAGTGTGATGTTCCCTATTTGTGCAAAGATATAATATCTGTGTAGAGAAAGATAACAGCCGCATAGAGAGTAATTGCTTGTAGTATGAATAAGATTGTACAGTTGAAATGAAGAAAGGAAAACATATATAAAGGCAGAACATAAATAAAAGTCAGGAGGTGGGAACATGAAGATCTAAACTACTAGCCTGGCCTCTCCAGCTTTCTTCTTCTCTGCTTTAATAATTTCCCAGTTCATGGCAGGGAAAAAGACTTATCTGTTTAAATAGTATATTACTACTTGTAATTTGAATACTATATGTTGTTGTTGTTAGGTGTGCCACAGAGTTGATTTTTGACTCCTGGACAGAGTAGAACTACCCCATAGGGTTTTCTTGGTTGTAATCTTTATGGACATAGATTGCCAGGTCTTTCTCCTTCTGAGCTGCTGGCTGATTCAAACCGGCAGCCTTTAGGTTAGCAGCTGAGAGTTTAACCATTGCACCACCAGGGCTCCAATCTGAATACACCAAATTAATATTGATTACAGACTAGTATACTGAAGATCATATTTATTTTGGTGTCTAATCATTATTAAGTTTGCTTTCTGAAACTTCCATGATTTTAGAATCAAATGGAGTTATATTAGGAATTTAAATTTAACATTCAACTCTAAAAAAAAAAAAGGTTATTGTGTTAATATGGGCCCACTGCTAACTCTGGTATTTCAATCCTTCCACCTTCAGTGGTTCCATTTTTGATGATCTATTGTGATCCTGCTCTTGACCCTGGTGGTGGAGTCAGTTTTGACCCTGTTGTCGAAGGTTCAGATGGAGCAATTCATTCATGGGCCGTAGAAGGACCACAGCCTGAACTCAGAGTAAGTGCTAATCTATAAGAAATGTCCTTTGGTACTCACCTAAACTCAATCTTACACACATGAACCAAGCTGTTAGCAGTCAGTTCACCATTCATGCTGTTCTTTGTTCTAGAATAGCTGACAGGGAAAATGAAGAGGAATCAAAAGTACATCAAAATTAGATGGAAGCAACTAGGGAAGGCTTCCTAAATGAGGTTCAGGTTTTCAACGGATTTCAAAAGTTTCCTGAATAGTATTCTTGCAGGAAATTTGTGGCAATTTGAGAATAAACCAAATGCATGACTATAGAAAGACAAGAGTTGTTACAAATGGGAAAACATTTCCTATCTTTTAGGACTTGACCAACATCTGCGTGCCACAGGTACTACCTGATAATGCAAATATGATGGAATGCATTGACAACACAGGTAAGAAAAAAATTTTTTATTTTTCATTTTAACAGTTCAAATGACTAATGACGATCTCTGTTCTCTCTCTCTTTACATTCTTGCTTTTTGTCAATGATGTATTGTTGCTTTTTTAAATAACTAATTATCAAACAATAAGGAAAAACCTACCATCATTATTATTCTTGTATGACCTGATTGGGACCTCTATAAATAAGAGAGAAGTACTGAAGTGTGTCCATAAGTCAGTTTGGGTCAAGACTTTTTGTCTGACAGAGCAATTTCATTTATCAAAAAAAAAAAAAAAAAGCTAATTGGAATTAAAGTACACTTCAATTAAAATAGGCCTGTACTCATTTACTGAGGCTTGACTCTACCTTCTTATTCCATTTAATAATCCAAAATCACTCTAACTTTAGCTGCTTAATGTGACAAAGAAAATAACTGCATTCATTCTCTGCATCAGCATACATGCTGATCTAAAAAAGATTTCTCCAATTTCTTAAATTAAAACAAGTGGATGAAGCGCTGTCAAAATTTCAAAGTTCTCAGTGGAGGCTGTGTGCATGTTGTGGAGTTGCTCCTCACACATGGGTAAGATTGTACTAATACACCTTGCCTTAAAACGAAGTTGAGGCCAGTTCATGGGCATTACCCAGAGAGCAATTAGAATTTCACAGTAAGTGGAGAGCTACCATTCTAATAAAAAAGAACAATTAAAAAAAAAAAAAACTTCTCGTCATTGAAAACAGTTGTACTATCTTACCTTTTTCAAGGTAAATAAATGTTATTGATTCTTTTACTTTTTTCTTACACCCTCTCCTAACTTATCGACATGATTAGGTTCCAAAGACCAGGTCATTATGCAAAATCAGTGTTATGAGAAAATAGAGGATGACCACATCAGATCACAAAACGGAGGATGACTACATCATTGCATAACTACCAAATTACATCCTACATAACTGCCAAATTACAATCATTACATAACCACCAAACCACTGAGAATCATGGCCCAGCTAAGCTGACACATAACCTTAACCGTTAAAGCCAGCGTTACTCTCAAGCACCTCATTGTTACTCGCAGACATACGTTGTTAATGCACAAAATAGGCAGATAGTAGATTTTTTACTATTGTAATAAATGGGAAATGTCAGATAACAAGATAGTTGATAAGCGAGGAGAAGGTATATTCTTTTTTAAACTAGTAATCATTATTTTTCTAATGATGGAACACTTTAAAATGCAACATACATAGGAACGTCTATAACTTGTAAAATTGGACCTTATTCAAAGAATTGGTCAGGCTCTTCTTTAAACATATTCTTCCTCTTGTGGTATATATTTTTGTTAATGGCACCAGCATATGCTCAGCTCAAAAGCAAAACTCATCATTGACTCTTGTATCTCCTTAATCATCAACACCCAATCAGTTCTCAAGACTCGTCGAATCATCACATCTACCAGCATTTATTCATTTTCCCTTCATTCAGTCCACAAACATTTGCTAAGTACCTACACCTTACAAGGCACAATGAGAGGCACCAGGAGGGAAAAAATAAAACCAAACCAGTTACTGTTAAGTTGATTACAACTCATGGCAACGTCATGTGTTTCAGAGTAGAACTGCACTCCTCAGGGTTTTCAGTGTCTGTGATCTTTTGGAAGTAGATCATCAGGCCTTTCTCCCAAGAAACCTCTGGGTGGATTCAAACCACCAACCTTTCAGTTAGTAGCCAAGTGCTTACCCATTTGCACCACCCAGGGACTCCAGAAATTTTCACAGAAGTATGAAAAACACACTGTCCCTAAGCTCAAAGTTCTTAAAATATTAAGGTCATAGGGCACCTATCCCATTGGCACCACTCTCCCATGTCACTTCCATAAGTTGGGTCATCATTTTATCTCACTTACTCCGAATATTGTAACCATCTTCTACTAGCCCACCACATCCAAGTGAAAATCCAGGATTCTCTGAGTGCCAGTGGTGTTCATGCCTTCTTCTAGTTGCCCAGCACTTCTAATAATATGTTGAGCTATTCTGATTTTTTTAAAAAATTTTAGAATCTGAGTATTTCTCCCTTCCCCCAATTTCCACCAATTTGAAATCAGACTCTCTAAGGAATAGGTTTTGACACTTCTGTGCAGTTTTCCAGTCTCAGAGTAGCCTGTTAGCCTCTCAATAAATATTTATGAAAATAACTAACTGATTAATAACAGCATTTTGAACTCAATTATCACATTTGTATCTCCTTTCTTTGTACGTCATCTTCATTTTATCTTTTGGTTCACAAATGTGTCCTTAACTGAAGAAACCATACATTAAAATAAGTTACTAATTTTTGTTTACAATATACCAGAGAAAGTAAATTCAATTTGATCAACAATTTTAGGAGTTTATACAAATGAGTACTGTGGCAGAGAAATACAAGATCTGGGAGGAGGAGAAATAACATCACGATTTGAAGTAACAAATGGAGTTAAAACGTGTGGAGGGCCTGAGATATGCCAAGAATATTCTGGAACATTAAGAAGAAATTCTGTGAGGGAATGTAGAGAAGGAGGACTGAATATGAATTTCATGGAGAGTTACTTCTGTCAGGTAAGGTCTCTAGCCATATCGCTTCCTCTCACATATCTTCCTCACTATTTCTCAGGGAGATTTTGGCAGGAGTCTCCTACTTAGGTGTCAAGCTCTAGTCTTCATCCCCGACAATCCACATTCCTGTTGAATAATATTTCTAAAATTCTGACCTGAGCACTTCACTCCTGCTTTTAAAAACTGCCAGTGGCTCCCAGCTCTACTCTGTCCAGGGCATGAAGTCGAAACTCCTTAACATGACAATTAAAGTTATTCAGAAATTGACCCCTTCCCTTCATATTTCTAACTATTCCTTACTACCAACTTCCTTTGCCAAGTATCTTTGCCTTATTCATGCCAATCTATTCACCTCCATGCCTTTGCTTATGTGGTGCCCGTCCTGGAATGCTTTTGTCTCATCATCTCTCTCACAAATTCTTACTCATCTTTCAAGATCAAGTTCAAAATCACTTGCTCTCTGAAGTTTTTACTGTCAACTTTCTTACCTTTAAAAGAGGATTAACTTTTCCTTATCTGTGTTTCTGTAGCACTTTGCTCAAACATTATATAGAATATATCACATTGCTGAAATCTGCTAGTTTATACCACTATTAGTGCCTTGTTCATATGTTATCTACATTTATGTTGCCAGTACCTAGCTCACTTCCAGGCACATCAAACCAAACCCAATCTGACTCATAGTACCCCTATAGGACACAGTAGAACTGCCCTCATAGGGTTTTCAAGCTTGTCAATGTTTACGGAAGTGGACTGACACATCTTTCTTCCGCAGAGTGGCTGGTGGGTTTGAACTGCCAGCCTTTCGGTTAGCAGTCAAGCACTTAACCACTGCACCACCAGGGCTCCTTTCCAGACTCATAAAACTCATTGCCCTAGAGTCGATTCTGACCCATAGCAACCCTATAAAAATGAGTAGAACTGCCCCATAGGGTTTCCAGGCACATAGTAAACATTAAATAAGAGCAGGTTCAGTAGCCATAGTACATACATTTCCAGAACATTCCAAGAACCAGCTGCAGGTGATGGAAAGAGGGTGATGTCTGGAGAAGAAGCAGTAGTTAAATTAACTTTGCCATCCGCAGGCATAGACATGATTGTCCATGGTTACACAGCATGTGATACTCAAGTCTTCCGGAAGCTCCTGTCTCTGACGCTGACTACAACTACATTTCTGACCTTCTACATTCTGACCTAAAATACCTTCATTTATTCCCCTAATAGTTTAGAAGATGGCTGACATTTTGAAAAAAATATTAGCTAAAGACTTTCAAATAGCAGTAGATAAATAATAAGAGGCTGGTTGCTGAAATCCCTAAGAATGCTTTCTACCCATGGCCCTGTCCCTACACATGAATATTATTTTCATGAAAAGTACAATTCTGCTTGAAAACTCTTGCACTGGCAGTTCCCTCTGCCTGGAACACTTGTCAACTTTGCTTAGCTGTCACTTCTTTCCAGTCTCTGATTAAATCTCACTTTATCAGAGATGCCTTCCTTGACCACTGTAGTAGTTTCCTATAGCTACTGGAACAAAGTATCACAAACTGGGTGGCCAAAAAAAAAAAAGAACACACAGAAACTTCTCTCAGAGTTCTGGAGGCCAGAAGTCCAGAATTAGTATCACTGGGCTGAAATCAAGATGTCAACAGGGCCACCCTTCCTCCACAGGGTCTAGGGAAGAGTTTGTTCTTTGCCTCTTCCAGCTTCTGGTGGCTGCTGGCATTCCTTGGATTGCGGCTGCATCACCCCAATCTCGGCCTCCTTCTTCACATCACCACCTTCTGTGTGTGTGTTGTCTTCTCTTCTGTCTGTGTCAAATCTGCCACGACTTCTCTCTTATAAGGACACTTGTGATTGCATTTAGGCCCTACCTGGATAATCTACGATAATGTCATCTCAAGATCCTTAACTTAATCACATCTGCAAACATCCTTTTTTCTAATAAGGTAACATTAAACGTTCTAAGCATTAGGGCCTGATATCTTTGGGTGGCCATCATTCAGCCTAGTACAACCCCTCTATCTAAAATAGAAATCCATTCACTCTGTATCCCCTTACCCTCTGCTTACCCTGACATAAAGTCCAACAAATCCAACCCCATCGCCATCGAGTCGATTCCAACTCATGGCTATCCTATAGGACAGAGTAGAACTGCCCCATAGGGTTTCCAAGGAGCAGCTGGTGGATTTGAACTGCTGACCTTTATGGTTAGCAATCAAGCTCGTAACTACTGCACCATAAGGAGCCCTGGTGGTGCAGTGGTTAAAAGCTATGGTGAGCTGCAGCTGCTAACCATAAGTCGGCAGTTCGAATCCACCAGCCGCTTCTTGGAAACTCTATACAGCAGTTCTACTCTGTCCTATAGGGTCACTATGAGTTGGAATGGACTCAATGGCAATGGGTCTAACATAAAGTCAGTCCTCATTATTTGTGGATTTTGTGCTTGCAAATTCACCTACTTACTAAAATTTATTTGTAATCTAAAAACCAAGACTCTCAGCTCTTTTGAGGTCACTCGCAGACATTTACAGAGTGGTGAAAAATCTGAGTCACCCAATGTGGCACATTTCCACCGGAGGTCAAACAAGGCAGTATTCTGCCTTCTTGTTTCAATTCTCATACGGTGAAGGGTTGTGTGTGTGTTGTCTGTGTGTGTGTGTGTGTGTGTGGTATATTTAGTACCACGTTTTTTGCGTTTTTGTGCTTTTTGTTGGTTATTTCACTGTTTGAAATGGCTCTCAAATGTACTGCTGAAGTGCTGTCTAGTGTTCCTAAGCACAAGAGGGCTGTGATGTGCCTTATATATGTGTTAGATGAGCTTTGTTCGACTATAACATGAGTTATAGTGCTGATGGCCATGAACTCAAGGTTAATAAATGAACAATATATATTAAAGATCCCACCCAAAGGCTCCATGGGAGAAAGACCTGGCGATCTGCTCCCATAAAGATTACAACCTATGAAACTCTATGGGGCAGTTTTACTCTGTCCTATAGGGTTGCCATGAGTTGGAATCAACTTTAAACAGATATATACAATAAACATAGCTATGTAATGGTCAGCTGACAAAAATGTTGTGACCAGAGGCTCACAGGAACCTAGCCCTATATTTCCCTTAGGAGTATAAGTTCAGTATTCACTAATTCAGTGTTTATGGTAAATTTACACAACAAAACTAGTGTGAATAATGAAAACCAACTGTATATGCTTATATATTGTCTGTCTCATCCTACTAAAATGTAAGCCCTATTGAGAGAGGGACTTCATCTGTTTTTGTTCGTTAATGCCTAGCCAAGTTCCAGGCAGAGTGCCTGGCAAACAATAAGGACTCAACAAATACTTTTTTAATGAAATGACACAGTGAATTGGTTTGATATCAAGCTATTTCTGATACTTAACCTGAAAGTTTGCAATCCAATATTATGAACAAGAAAGATGAAATAGAAGTGCACATGTGTGTGGGCTTTCACTTTAAGTTGAAGTATATTCTACTTTTAAAAATTGCCTTTGGTCGTCTTCAGTTTTGAATCCAGAAGACACAGACCCAGAGTCAAGCTTTCCTGCTATTTTTCTAAGAAAGCCACATTGAAATAAATCTGCATAGAACTATCATATTCACTCCTGTAAAGGAAGAAAACACAACCCTGAATGAACTCAAATCAACTGTGAACTACCTTTTATACAAGAAAAAACACAAAATTTTGTGTACTTGGACTTTGGTATTTTTATGTACTTCCTTCTAATGGACCAGAAAAATGATTCGTATGATATCTTTATACTCTGTGTCCAATGTGTACTATCCAAATAAATTTTTTAAATCACAATGTATTATCAGAATTATAGTTAAAATATTTTCCAACAAATTCTTTCTAGTAATTATATAGTGATTTTTTTAAGCATCTCTAGTAGATCATAGAATTTGGTTTCAAATATTCTTTTTTGGTAATGTTCTAGAAGAAAAAATAATGGTAAAGACTATTCTATTATTGTTAAATATGTATTCATAATTTCATTTTCTCTCTTCTCTACAAATTTAGAAAGCATATGCATATGCAGATGAAGATGAAGCTCGCCCATCCAATGACTGTTTGCTCATATATGACATCGAAGGTGTAAACTCCCCTGCTGGCTCCGTGGATTGTTGTAGCTTCATTGGAGAAGACTTAGACGACAGCTTCTTGGATACACTGGGGCCTAAATTTAAGAAGCTGGCAGATATAAGTCTGGGAAAAGAAGTTGAATCTTATCCAGACCTTGATCCCTCATGGCCACCTGAGTGTACCGAACCAATTTGCCCTCAGCAGGAAACAGAGCCCACTACTGGTGTATACCCACCAATCTCACCACATTTTGGCACTACCACAGTAATTTCTGAGAGCACCTATCCCTCGGGACCTGGGGTGCAGCATCCTATGCCTATTCCTGATCCTCTGGGCTACGGTAATGTCACTGTGACAGAGTCTTACGCCACCTCTGGCACTCTGAAGCCCTCTGTCCACCTTCATGATAATCGACACACATCAAATGTAGTGGTGACAGAGAGGGTGGTCGGCCCAATCTCTGGGGCTGATTTGCATGGAATGTTAGATAAGCCTGATTTGAGAGATGGGTCAAATGTTATCGTGACAGAAAGGGTAATAGCACCAAGTTCAGGTCTACCCACCTCTTTGACCATCCCTGATCCTAGAGAGGCTTCAAATGTGGTAGTGACTGAAAGAGTAATCAGACCAACCTCTGGCATGATGGGCACTCTGGGGATGCACCCTGAGTTATCAAATGCCCACAATGTGATTGTGACAGAGAGGGTTGTTTCTGGCTCTGGCCTGGCTGGAATTAGTGGCACAACTGGGATAAGCGGAAGCAGTGGCATTGGCAGTAGTGGCCTGGTTGGCACCAGCCTCAGTGCTGGAGGCGGGGGCCTGAGTGGCAGCATAGGGGGGACGGCCACTATTGGCCATGTGAGGAACTCCTCTGACCATCACTTTAGCCAGACCCTTGGATCTGCCTCCCCTAGCACAGCTCGAAGCAGGATCACGAAGTACAGCACAGTGCAATACACCAAGTAGTTAGGACCCCAGCACACTTTTTCACAGTCACGGTGATTTGGATTCAGTTCCCAACACACAGAACACTAACAATGTTATGTATAACGCACAACTAGGTTCTAAGAAAATTGTGGAGCCAAGTAAGAAACCAAACTGAGAAAACAAATGGAAACATTGCTGCAGGGGGAGAGGTCTCCTTAGCATTTATAAACTTTTTTCTTAGATTAATACTAAAGAAATGAGGAGCATGAACTAAAACTTGAGGCAGGGTCTTCTTTGTGCCTGTGTGGCCTGTAGGGGCTTCTTTGCCTTTGTGTGGCCTGTAATGTATCCCCAGCACATGGAACAAATAAAAGACAGTCACGTACAAACACCAGCCTTAAGATTGCAATTGGCATAATTCTCCTTGCTATGTTTTGATTTGCCATATAGCTCGGGCAGTATTCAAAAAGAACTAAACACGCAGGATGTGCTCATATACATGGGAAGGATTTGAAATGTGTGCCAGGTGTCCTATCGATTTCACAGACCATGGAAACAAAAATCCAAACTCAGGCCAGAGTCAACCATTAAAACAAAATTCTGACTACACAGCCAAGTGCACAATCTACCAAACACTCCTTCTTTAACAACGGAATTGTTGTTGTTTGGTGCCGTTGAGTCAATTTTAACTCTTAGAGCCCCCACGTGACAGAGTAGAACCGCCCTGTAGGGTATCCTAGGCTGTAACCTTTATGGGAGCAGATAACCAGGTCTTTTCTCTCACAGAGCCGCTGGTGGGTTTGAACTTCCAACATTTCGAACTTCCAACATTTCGGTGAGCAGCTGAGCGCTTAACTATTGTGCCACCGGGGCTCCTTATAATTGCATTAGATAAAATAAACTTATCATTAGGAAATGTTTCCTGGGAGAGAAATTCCTTAAGAGTGGCAATAGGTTGAGATTCATTTGGGGCAAACTGGCCATGTCTGAGCCTGAATCTTGAGATGGGGCTTCAACTAAATCTCCTTATGCAGTCAAGAACTTTTCTGATTCTAGTTTGTGTTTCACTGTAGATGTAATATTGAAGAATACTGCATACCGGTGAGGTTGCAGGTTAGCACACCCATTTTTTCTTTTACCACAGTGTCTCCAATCTGATAAAGGAAACCCTGCCACGCGTACTTCTCAGATAGAAACAAGTAACACTAGACATTGTTGTCACCACTGGTGGTCAATTACCTTCCTAATAAGCAGATGGGAACCACATTGCATTTTCAGATTGTGGTTTTAGCAAGTGTTATTCATTGGTATCCAGATCTATGTTACATATCTTCTAAGTTAAAATGGTTTATTTAAGCTGAGCTACGAAAGCAAGCTTGCAGTATGGATAAGCTTTGAGGAATTTTTTTTAAGAGATCTAAAAAATGTTTTTAGAACATGTAGTAAATGTTTAATGGGGAAAGTTAGAAAAGAATTGTTTGGTAAAGTAATACCATTCTAATCATTAGTCTTAATTAAGCTTCAGTACTTTTTTTTTTTTTTTTTAACAACCCTCTGCTGCCATTTTGAAGAGATCAACCAGGAACTTTTAACAGAGTTAATGATATTGTGTTGACAAGAATGCAATAGTATTAGACAAACCCATTTTCTTAGTCTGTCTCACCCTGCAACTGAATTTTTTCACCAGCATACATTTTATATTCCTGATTGTCAATAAGCATTTGGCTTATATGCACTCCAATCTATAGATAGTTTTCAAATTATGATGTATTTGTCTATCTTCAAAACTCAGTAATGTGCTATTTCTGATGTATCATTTCTGTGTGTATACTATATGTGTTACCTGGTTAAAATCTCTAAAAAGAATCAAGACACTCTTAGAGCCAGGTAAATTTACCACAACATAGTAGAAGAATGTTCTCTTTTTAAAATTCAGTGTTAATATGAGCTGGTATCACTAAAGTGAAATCAAATATGACAAAATAAAATCAGGAAGAATCCATTTTTGCCCTGGAATTGTGAATAAAATACAACTTTTAATGATTTTCCCCTAACTACTCAAATTTCCCAGGGTGTTATGAGATCTAAGTCTAGTTATTTAATTTCCAACACTTGTCAAAGGGGATGAGGAGTGAATTATTTTACCTAAAGCTAGTTTGCTCTCTGTAACAGCAGGTGAGATCAGTATTTTAAAAGCCACAATAAACATCTTATTTTAACTCTGTAGGATATGTAAAATTTTGATAGTCTGTAGAATGAGAAAAAATGCAGAGGTGTAAATAAAGTCATTCAATGGGAGTCTTTTTTTTTTTTTTTTAATGTCTTTCTCCCATTCTGGGACCAACGGCGATGGGTTTGGTTTGGTTTTGGTTAATGCTTCCAGAAATAAAATCAAAAGGTATTCATTGAAATGTTCTTGTGTGTGCCTGCGTCTAGGAGTCCAGGAGTTTGAAGGAATAAAAATAATTATTTACTCATTAATAGAAGAGAATGGTATCTGACCATAGAGAACTTCTCATTTTGATATGACATATCACCAGAAATCTTAAGATAACTTACGTCATTCAGAGGTATTTTTTAGGTTGTCTAACAAATAGCAGAGTGACCAGCTTTAGTAGCTATTGTTATTATGACCCCTTGGTTACATAAAATCATGGCAGATACGAGGGGGAAAAATGGCAGTGATAGTCATCAATCTTTCTAGGAAGATGCTTTCAAATCAAATTGTTATTTTCAGGATTACACATTGATGTTCCAGCTATTTAATCCTAAATTTTAAAATTATCTTATTAAGACATCAACCATTCTAACAGGCATGCTATATTTTTCAATAAACAGACTTTGGGCAGAATTTCATTCTTCTTTGATAATTTGCTCTCATATGCACCATTTCGTAGGCCTAAAAACTATATGGAAAATGTTTTATAAGTGAATAGCCATAATTCAAACGTGTATTGCAAGCTGGATCTCAGATCAACTTGCTCTTATACAAAAGGGAAAAGGAAAGGGTAGTAATTTAATCTTATGTATATATGGTTTGAAAACAAAGTGTTTGATGTTTATAAAAATCTCTTATATTCTAAAGAGGTGGTCCCTAGGGGCAAAAAAGTACATCATAAAATGCTTTCTTTATTTAATTTCAACCAAAATGCCATCTTGAGCCAATTTTGACATTGATTACCAGATGTATCTACTACATATTATTAGCTTCTATGCATGTTGCCTGATGTAACTGTATTTGCACTAAAAAAATTTACATTAAACGTCTTTACTTAGGATTATTTATATGCCTCCATCTGGACACCTATTCAACATTTGTATATAAAGCTTTTAGCATCATAATTTTCATTCAATGAAACGTTCTGAAAGAAATGTAATTATATATGTTTAAAAATTACATTTTCTCTCTGTTTAGTGGATTTTTTTTTAGTTATCTATACATCTCATTTCTAAAGTTATACCAAAATTTGATTGTCAGCTACAGTATAACACATGTGACATCATTTGACTTTAGTAGAGGTTTAATGGTCTGTTACAAACATGGCCAAAATGATATGGCTCTTTGGAAGGATCTTTGAAACCCAAAGGAAACTTTAAAAAGCTTTAGCCACATTTTTCCACGCTTATTTAATAAATTCCAACCTTCTTTGTGATTTCTGGTGTTTTTAAGTCCTGCTTTGCATTGCACTAGCATACACTAGTCCATGGTAGATTCCAAGAACTCATGAAATAGCATCTGTCTTGCAGTTCTAGACTATTCAATGTATTTTAGGACTAAAGCTTGAATGGATCAACCGATTGTTCATCTAATAACTTTAAAACAATGAATAGTCTATCATTGACTTATCTACACTTGCCCCATTTGGTTATATTTGAATTATTATACTTTTTATCTTCAAACTGTCTCTGGTCTAACTTATTTTTCTTCTGCTGTCTATTTTAAAGCATTTTTAAACTCCAATATTCATTTTTGGTAATGTTTAAACAAGGTACTTCCCTTCAAGTTTCAGTCTAAAAGTGTTTAGATTATTTGGGTGTTCTTACTTGCTTGGTCACTGTGCTACTTTATGTCAGTTTGTAATTTCCAGAGTTATGTTTACAGCAATAAAATGATTCGTATGTCTCCATTATCTTTTTTTTTTAACATTTTATTGTGTTTTATGTGAAAGTCTGCAGCAAATTAGTTTTGCATTCAACAATTTATATACAAATTGTTCCGTGACATCCATTGCTATCCCGGCAATGTGTCAGCATTCTCTTCATTTCCACCCTGTCCTTCCTGTTTCCATCCCTCCAGTTTCCAGGCTCCTCTGCCCCTGTTTGCCGTCTCAGCTTTGCTTTTGGGCAAATGGGGCCCCTTTGGTCCTATAGTTGATTGTCCTAAGAAGCACGTTTCTCACAGGTGTTATTCTTTATTTTTATACGCCAGTCTATTATTTGGCTGAAAGGTGACCTCCAGGAGTGGCTTCAGTTCCAAGTTAACAGGGTGTCTTAGGACCACAGTCTCAGGGTTCCTCCAGTCTCTATCGGTCCAGTAAGGCTGGTCTTTTTTATTAATTTGAGTTTTGTTCTACATTTTTCTCCTATTTTAACCAGGACCTCCTATTGTGTCGCTGATCAGAGCAGTCGGTAGTGGTAGCCAGGCACCATCTAGTTCTGTTCTCAGGCTAGAAGAGACTGTCATTTGTGTAGGCCATTACTCCTGCAAACTACTTGCTTCCTTGAGTCTTTGGTCTCCTTCACTCTCCTGTGCTCCAGAGGGGAAGAGACCAATAGTTGTATCTTAGATGGCCACTCACAAGCTTTTAAAACGCCAGACACTACTCACCAAACTATGATGCAAAACATTATCTTTATGAACTATGTCATGCCAGTTGACCTAGATGTTCCCTGAGACTACGGTCCTTAGCCTTCAAGCCCAGTAACTCAGTCCTGTGAGGTGATTGGATATGTCTAAGAAGTTTCATATATGTGCCCCCTATGCGCTCTATTATATATATAAATATCTATGCAGCACACACAAATATGTATACACAAATACCCACAACTATACCTATGTATGCATGTGCACATACTCCCATACACCCTCCACACCTATAGCGCATACTCATCTACCTGGCTAACCACTCACAAATTTTTGGTTGTTATTGTTGTTGCAGAATTGTATATGTTATAACATTTACCATAGTTATCTT